AAGGGAGATCACCGCTCCCAAAAATTCATGTCCTCTAAGGCACATGGCCGAGTGAATAAAATCATTAGTTGGATCCAAGATGCATGTACCTAGAATAATCTAACCCGGTTGACGAAATTCAGGGTACAGTTCCAAATTCAATCACCTGAAGAAGGACGGAGGGTTATAGCAATAAAGATATGAACAAGAGTCCGAATAATGTAAATAATATACATATATACCCACGACCAAAACGTAGCAATAACTGATACATTAAAATATAGACATATTGAACACCCAGACACCCCTGTCTAGAAAAAATGGATTTATCTGTAACCTTGAAACATGAATTTTGTTTTTAGCCAGTTTTAAAACCCAGTAATTTTTAAAAGTTACTCCAAAATTCATCTTGAGGATAAAATGGAACTAATGTCTTTAATTTAATTACAAAATTAAATTCAGGGCTTTTTAGCTTCCATTTTTGAAACATGGTTAGAACTGTGTAGCGAAAAACATATTTTAAATCAATTCATTTATAATATTAATGTTCTGTAATTTACATTGAGCACTATTTTGTAAAAATAAAAATATCTATAAGAACACTGGATTAATATATCTTACTGTTCTTTCTTTATATATATATATATATATATATATATATATATATATATATATAAAAAGAAAAGTAAGATTTATAATTCAGAGTTCTTAGGTTTTATTTTTATTTATAAAAAACAGTGCTCAATACGATCCGTAGAGCTTAATATTATAATCATTTTTTTTTTAAAAAAGATGATTGTATCGCGCCAGAGAACATCTTATGTTTCGAAATGGAAAACTCCAAATCTGGATTAATTTTAAAAATTAAATTTAGATTTGGAGTTTTTCGTTTTGAAGCATAGGATGTTTTGTGCCGCGAAGGAATCATATTTTTTTAAAATTATATATATATATATATATATATATATATATATATATATATATATATATATATATATAGTTTGAAGAAACTTACTGAGTAAATTACTGACTAAGCGATTTTCATCTTAATGAAACTTCAAGCCGTAAATGCTAAAATGCCTGTCTGATAATAATCGAAACGAATGAACGTAAATAGTTTGACCTAGAGTCACCTAAATATAGCTATGTTTTTTTTTGACCTGGAAAAGATAATGAAATAATGAAGCATTGCGTACACAAAGTGGTGTACGCAAAATAATTGAAACGTTTAAGTTGAGAATATTTAAACTGAAAATGCCTCATTAGACATATATATATATATATATATATATATATATATATATACACACACATACATACATATATATATATATTATATATATATGACATTATATATATATATATATATATATATATATATATATATATATAAATATATATATATATATATATATATATATATATATATATATTATGCCTCATTAATAATGCTGTTGTGTATCTCAATGACTAATCAGTAAACAATCGAAAAATTCAGTTATAGAGAAATTCAACATGGCGTTCTACCCAGAGACTTTCGACCTCCTGCAAAGCTTTGGAATTAAGTTCACATGATAGCAAGAAAGACCTATTGCTTTCATAGTTTTAAGTATTATTGTAGTTATTTAATTACTATAGCAATCCTTAGGTAATTAAAATTTGTGTAATGCGTTTCATCTACGAGGTCTTCATCGGACTAAAGTAATGTTTTTATTTAATAAGTTAATGATTATGATCATGTGCCCAGGAGTAAACGTAGAATATTGTTATCTTTGAATTTAATTTTTTTTTTTTTTATCAGACGTGTCTGGACACATGTCCTAGCCGATCTCATTCAGTTTTCGAATGCTTTACTTTTATCGTTTTTACCTTGAAGTATTCCGTGTTGTGTTAACAGAAGATCTGTTAAGAAAGGTGAAATGTGGCCAGAAAGATTGCCATGAATGATTTAGCAATCAGTGCACTTTCTATACATTTTCGCCTTAGGAAACTGCTTTCTTTTTTAATCGAAGTAGCATATCTAAGTCAAAATTATGGTCAGGCTCGGGCTTATATCGCCTCTTACTTTAAAACAAAAATTCCATCAGTAAAAACATTACATTAGCCCATTGAAGTCCTTCTAGAGGATGAAACACGTCACATAGAACTTTTCAACTTTTTTTATTCAACTGCTTAAGATTACTTTTACATATATATATATATATATATATATATATATATATATATATATATATATATATATATATATGTATGTATAAATCTAGTGAGCCAGACAAACCTATCCAGGTCTATCTAGGTCTGCTCTACGGTTGTATTGAGCTCTTTTAGTTAGTTAGTTGTTTACTCGTGTTGGTTTTTTTCTTTTCTTTGGGCTTCAAACCTGTATCTGTGGAATTTTTTCGACAGACTTTCATGTTTCTAGCTCTTTCTTTTTTAAAACCTTTTTCCTTCGTGATTGATTTGGTTATTGGCAAAAAACGAAACGAGTATAGTTACCTATATATATATATATATATATATATATATATATATATATATATATATATATATATATATATATCGTATTCACCATTTTGTAGTTGTGTATGTGTACTTGACTAATGCACAAATTGACTTTTATACTTTGTCTAGGGATTTTCGAAAGCCACTTAAATTCTAGTGTAGTTCCGGTAGAAAGAATAGTGAAAGTTACAGATACATAAGTGAGGGGGGTGAGTTCGAATTCTGGTCGGGTTCGTTGCATTCTTATGCGCAAATACCCTTGTGAAAAGTATGAACCCATCTCTTCTCTCAGCTACGAGTTGAATAGCAGGACAGACTGGGTTCTATCGCCTTGGTTGGAAACCAGTCTACTAGAGGAAGAATTGGTGACCTACTATGGGAAAATCTTCTGCCTAGTGAGTCATGAAGCGAAAGATACATGAACGCCTAATATATGTATGTATGTACGTATGCATGCATAAATGTATGTATGTATGTATGTATGTGGTTGCACAAATATGAATATAGATAAAAGGATGCTGAATAGTTCTCGGCCCAACCCATATTCTAAGATCAATATTTTAAACAGCGAACCATGAACATTTCAGTATACTCATGCATATATAGGTGAAAAGATGTATTTGCGTAAATATATGACTCTTTTTAATGAGCTATAATTTTAATTTACTAACTTAACAATCTAAATACATGCACACACAAACACGCACACGTATATTTAGATTGGCAAATAAAATGACCTGAAATAAAAATGTACTTTCAAATTGCAGGTAAAAAAAATCAACACATTATCTTCAGTTACATTCTAGTCTATTCTTATATATTTTATTCTCTTCCTGTATCTATCTATCTATCTATCTATCTATCTATCTGTCTAATCCTATTCATATCTATCTATCTATCTATCTATCTATCTATCTATCTATCTAGCCCAGACATTCTTTTTCTATCTATCTATCTATCTATCTATCTCAGACATTCTTTTTCAATCTATCTATCTATCTATCTATCTATCTATCTATCTATCTATCTATCTCAGCTATTCTTTTTCTATCTATCTATCTATCTATCTATCTATCTATCTATCTATCTATCTATCTCAGCTATTCTTTTTCTATCTATCTATCTATCTATCTATCTATCTATCTATCTATCTATCTATCTATCTATCTATCCCAGCTATTCTTTTTCTATCGATCTAAAAAAAAAGGAAAAAAAACAAAGTAAACCCATCTTATATACCATCTTCTAGATTAAGTGAAGTGTCTACGATTCAATTTTCCAGAAGTTGAACATCATTTTCCAATCTAAGCCAAAGCTCCTTCTACTTTTTGATATCGATATCGACACCTTATATGCACTGGGGGAGTTCTCCGTTCCGGGCTACTCACCTCTAAACATGACTACCTAAATCGTCACCGACACGGACTCAGAACCTCCATCAAGGACGAGTTTTCCTGCGACAGAAGCGCAAAAAACCAGGAACTCGACAGCCCATATATGTGTTTCCAATGGCACTTATCCATAGAACCACATTCTTCTCTGCTCTCTGTCTTCCTCTGGACGAGGGGACGGTAATCCACAACTGAATTTCTGAGAAGATTGACAATATCCTTACTTAATTCCCCTCGGCCCGCTTTCATATCTGCGGTGACTTCAACGTCCATCATAAGGGGTGGCTAGTCCTCTCTAACAAAACAGATGCTGAATGTAGATACTGCAGAGACTTCTCCATCGTCTACGAGATGACCGGAGAACCTACCTAGGTCCCGGACACGACAGGACATTAGGCAAACTTCCTTGACATATTCATAAACTTCAGCCCTGATAAATGCCTATAAAAAGTTTTTACATCTACTATGCACGTCAGACCATTCACCAATCAGTGTCCAGATTGATAGCATATCTAAGGTATCCCCTGATACACCGATTTTTCGTTCTGCTAAGGTAAAAGACTGGGGAAACTTTCGATCTTACATGATGAAAGCTCCCCTCCTAGCCTTCTTCGAGCATGCTGCCTCCGAAACTGCTGCCCCTGTCAATGATTGGGTCCTTTCTGGAGTGGAGAGTTTTATACCCCAAAAGAAATTCTAGCAAAAACCAGTTCACCCCTGAATGCACTACAACCATAACTCACCACTACATCAATATCTATCGCTAGGAGCGAAGTAGTTAGGCCCTCACTGCATTCAGAAGTGCCTGTAATCGCTGCAAAAAAAAGTTCAAGAAAACACCAAGTGCAGATACTCACGAGTTGTCAAGACCAAGTTGAAAAGAAACAAATTGGATCCTATGAATTCTAGAAGATCACCAGCCAAATCATAAGTGGAGGCAAAAAGGTTGTGTCCACAATTATAAATGTCCTCCAGGTGATATCTTCCCCGACTGATAAGGCGAACATCTTCGCCTTCATCTTTGCCTCAACGTTAGATGACAAAGATCATCCTCTCCTCAAGTCCCAATGTCTCACTGAACACATCTCAGTAATATTACTGTCACAACAAGCGAGATCTCGAGGCTTATCAAATGTCTTGACTCTAAGAAAGCCACTGATCCAGACAAAATTCCGGTGGTTGTCCTTAAGAATGTCAACCCGGAATTATCCCAGATCTTAGCAAAGTTATTAAAGCGTTGCTTGAAGGAAAAATCCTTCCCAAACCTGTGGAAGGTATCAATATGTTCGGTTTTCAAGAACCCAGGCGTGCGATCTTCCCCTCCCAGTACAGACCCATCTGTCTCCTCAGTGTCACCAGCAAGCTCTTTGAGACCATTATAAATAATGATGTTGTCGAGCACTTAGAAAAAAACTAACTGTTCAGAGACTAGCATTATGGGTTTCGGTCGGCCCGATTAACTGCCGACGTCCTAACTACTACCACTCAGAGAATCAGTGCGGTTCGCGCCGCCAAACATATGTCCAGGACCGTAGCATTAGATATATCAAAGACATTCGACAAGGTTCGGCACATAGGCTTACAACACAAGCTCTCCAGTAATGGAATCACTAGAAGGGTTTCCTCGATCATAAAACTCTTCCAAGGAGGTAGGTTCTTGGTAGTTATCAATTGCCAGTCCTCTGGAGCCCTATCGGTCAACATGGGTGTCCCCCAGGGGTCACTCTGACCAACCCACTTTTTGATCTACGTATATGCCTAATAATATAAGTAGATCATTTGTAAACCTCTTTGCCGATGACATGACTATATACGGGCGCATCTCTCGATGGTCAGAGATTGGCGACTGATCTCTCTTCAGATCTTCCACTCTCGGAGGAAGTATCGTGCCCCGAAAGACTGTTGGGCTTCAAATTCACACCCAACCTCGTACAGAAGATCAATTGCTAAGGATGCAGATAAAATGTTTGGCTTCCTGTACCGCTTCAGTAAATACTTGGCCCCTCCTTCTATCCTCTACCTTTACAAGAACCATATCCGTCCCAAAATGGAGGACTGCTGTCATATTTGGCGGAGAGTTCAAAAGCATCTTTGAGCCCTTGTGAGTGGCGAACTATTCTCGAACCTTCAACTTCTCACCCACAGGCTGAATGTGGCTTGCCTCTCACAGCTCGACCGCTACTGCCACGAAAAGTGCTCGGATGAACTCCATCCTCTGGTTCTGCCGAGGTAAACATTCACAGTAACTAAACGCCACGCTACTTACATAATAGCGAACCACCGATATTCCCTCCATATCCCAATGTTATCAATGGCCAGTCCTCCGACGCCCTAGATTTCAACGAATGGGTTACTCCTCAGACCAACCCTCAATTGATCTACATAAACGATCTGCCTATCTATATACACATATCATTTGTAAACATCTATGCCAATGATACGACTTTATACGGGCGCACCCCTAAAATCCTCGATGGTCAGAGATTGGCGACTGAACACACTTCCGATTTTGCAGAAACTTCCCAATGGGGTAAAAACTGGCTGATTACATTCAATGGCTCGAAGGGCAAGCTAGTTACATTCCATCATCAGCGATCTGAACACGAACTACTATCGATCTTGAACAGATTTCCTGTCAGGGAAGCACCGTGCCTTGAAAGACTGTTAGGCCTCAAACTCACACCCAACCCCAAGTGTAACTCATACATACGATCCTTTTGCTAAGAATGCAGATGAAATGGTTGACTCTCTGAAACGCTCCAGTAAACACATGACCTCTCCCGCAATCTTCTGCCTTTAAAAGAGGCAGATCAGATTGAAAATAGAGTACTGTTGTTATATCTGTGCGGGCGACCTCATTCTCCAGCCTTGATAAGAGTTCAAAAGCCTCCTTGCGGTTGACGAGCTATTCGTCACCGTTTAAGCTCACTCCCGCAGGCGGGATGTAGCAAGCCTTTTACCTCTAATTCCACGGAAAGTACTCGGATGAAATACATTCCCTGTTCTCGCTGAGGCAAACCTTCACAGCAAGAACAAGCCATGCCACTTACATAATAGCGAACCATCTACAGTCCCTCCGTATCTCATCGGTGAGAAGTTCTACTCGAACAAATTTTTCCCACGAACCACTGACCTGTGGAACCGACTCCAAACTGAATGTTTCCCTGATCATTACAATCTTAACCTGTTCAAGGCTTGGGTTAACTTCTCTCTTTCACCTCTATACACACAAATGGCCTCAAACGTAACCCTCTATCACGAATGATCCCCGGGCCTTAGCTTTAAAAAACAAAAAAACAAACTAAGCCCAGTCTTTTCTTATCTATCTAGTCTTTTAACTATCTATCTATCTATCTATCTATCTATCTATCTATCTATCTGTCAGAATACGTACGCTATGTTCTTGAAAATCCTTCCATTATAATAGCTTTTCCCGACATTTTTACCCTTGTAAAACGCTTGAAATAGTTTTCATGTGTCAGGAAAACTCTGCGTAAAATTATTATATACTTTGATAATTATCTATTTCCTTTATATTTGAAAACATAATATATGGACACCATGAACACGCCGCTTACTCGTCTGAGTCAGTCAATGATACACGAATCCGTTATATACAGATCCTGTCCACTATCCAGTGAAAGAGCTTTCACACAGACAACACATAGACATCGCTAAATATATGCCCTATCATTATTATAATTTATATAAGTCGTTGGAGAATTTGTTATAATAACCAGGGATTTTCCAATAATATGCCAGACAATAATGCCGTAGGAAAATAACGAATATGTAATTAAACTAAAATTACTCTGTTTTATCACTGTTTTTAGCGGAACCCCTAGATGCCTGTTGCGGAACCACTCAGTTCCAAGGAACAACGGTTGAGAAACATTTTTAATAGAGTAGTATATATATATATATATATATATATATATATATATATATATATATATATATAAACTTAATGAGTAAATATAGGTTGGTATAACAGTAAGCAATCGTATACAAATACATATAAATCCTTTATAATATAAGAAAAACAGTGCACAATGTTAAGTAACAGAGCTATTTAATATATATATATATATATATATATATATAATAATAGTCCAAAAAATATGGTTTTTTTCGAAGATCCAAATGTTTCAGAACTAATACTTTTAATTTATTTGCAAAAAATAAAATTAGGGTTTTAGCTTTATTTTTGAAACATGGTTGGAACTGTGTAAAAAATAACCATATTTTAAATCAATTAATTTATATTATTAATGCTCTGTAAATTTACATTGAGCACTATTTTGTAAAAATAAAATATCTATAAGAACACCGGATTTTATATCTTACTGTTTCTTTCTTTTATTTATATACATATATATATATATATATATATAAAAGTGAACATAAAGCAACACTTAGAGGCGACAGTCTGTTTCATATTAGATGCAATTGTCAGGCCTGAAACAGACTGTCGCCTCTAAGTGTTGATTTCCTTTGTTCACTTTATATTTACACACGCCTCTATCTCTGATATTGAGTACTTTATCCTATAAATATAGCACATCTTAAGACTATATTTTCATATATATATATATATATATATATATATATATATATATATATATATATATATATATATATATATATATACATTAAGTAATTATATTAATATATATATATTTATATAAATTAAGAAACTATATTTCTTCATGTATATATATATACATTAATATATATATATATATATATATATATATATATATATATATATATATATATATATACATAAGATTAAGAAATATACATAATATCTTACATTCATAGCAAACTCCAGTTTCATGCCTAATCAATTTTCACGTGGTGAAATTATATTTATTTTTATTTAAGAAAATGAAAATAAAAATTATATATATATATATATATATATATATATATATATACTGTGTAACGCGGATCTCTCGCGTATCGTGCGACCCCACAAACCTTCACCTATAAAAATGATATTATGTATCTCGTGCGTCATACGAGTTTCCTTTTCGAGAATCCAAATTCCAATAGATTAATCTCTTTTCCACTATCAATTTATCCCATCTTCTAGTCAAATAAGTTTTTAAAAAAAGTAGAAGAGAATGATCGAAATATCGTTAGTTCTCATTGCGTTCACGCGTACAGCCACAAGCTACCGAACGAGATACAGCTTATAAAAGTAAACAATAGAAAAGATGCATATTCGCTATGTTTGTCTTTTATAATAACGATACTAATATGTGAATACTACGTGCACTATTATTGCATCCAGTTAAGTAAGACATCAGTTTTATCAAAAAAGGTTTATTTTAAATACAGCTGTACTTTTTAACTACAGTAAATGGATATTTACTTTGGTCAATGACGTAGCCAGGATCAGCAGTGCATACGCTAATTTTATATCTCGAGTATGATGCGACCCTCTTAAAAATAGCTTCAAAAGTAGGTCTTCAAATCTCGCACAATACGCGAGTAGTTATGGTATACACACACACATATATATGTGTGTGTGTGTGTGTGTGTGTGTGTATGTATATACCCACAAACACAAGCACACACATACACACACACACATATATATATGTGTATGTATACAGACAAACACAAGCACACACACACACACACACACACACATATATATATATGTGTATGTATACCCACAAACACAAGCACACACATACACACACACATATATATATGTGTATGTATACAGACAAACACAAGCACACACACACACACACATATATATATATATGTGTATGTATACACACAAACACAAGCACACACACATATATATATATGTGTATGTATACACACAAACACAAGCACACACACACACACACACACACACACACACATATATATATATATATATATATATATATATATATATATATATATATATATATATATATATCCTGGCAGTTGTGCGCTTCAGGGGAGTTCCGTTTTGCAAGTTGTAAAACTGATCAGCCTTCTTGAGAAATGATCGGTAATAAAAGCACAGTACCTCACAGATGAAGAAGAGACTGAGGATACAGAAACGTGGGGCTACAGAAGGATGCTGAGAATACTATGGACTGAACATGTGGGCAACGACGAACTGTTAGGGAAAATGGAAACAAAAAAAACATTGTGGTGAACCATGATCGCCCACGTCCTAAAGGATCACCATACAAACGAAGAAGAAGAAGAAGAAGAAGAAGAAGAAGAAGAAGAAGAAGAAGAAGAAGAAGAAGTCAGGGTCACCTAAGTTCTAAAGGGACACGGCACACACACACACCCGCACACACACACACACACACACACACACACACACACACACATATATATATATATATATATATATATATACAGAGAAAGAGTAATGTTATTCCAGAGTTCAGAAATGTTTATTGTTTAGTCATAATGCTCGCTTATTCTTCATGTTCGATGCTCTTTACATATGGATCGTAGAATGGCGATCTGAGAAGAGCGATGTAAAGCAACGTAAGTAAAATGAAATGAATAAATTCATCGATTGATTTGTTTTTATGATCCTTTTTAAGGTTATTTAAAGCCAAACCATATTTTGGGACTTTAAGAACTTTTTGGAGATAATAATGATTTTTCAGATACAAACCCTACTATTTAACCCATAGCTGGGATGTGAAGAGTTGGACTCATACCTTGCTCAAGGGTATTTGCTCGTAAGTGAATATAAGGAATCTAACAGGAATTCGAACTCGGCACTCAAAATTCTCATTACTAAACGTTATTCAATACGCCACCCGCACAACCAAGCTTGCAGTACTGGGCATTCCCTGATAGTCACCCATCTAGTTACTGACCAGGATCAATGTTGCTTAACTCCGGTGATTGGACAAAGAAAGACGTAGAATGACAATAGTTGCATCAAGGAATTCGGGAGCTGATAATTTTTAGCGATTTGGCATTCATGCCAAAATCTTTTTGTCATCGTCTTGAAGGTTATAAACGGAGTCTATTTAAAAATCTTTTCCCGTTCGACAAGCATGCATGGCGGTGAGCAAAATGGTCAGACCCAAGATGTGAGTTACACATCGGGGACGTCAGAATTAATGAAATGATTGAAATAATGAATTAGCAAAGGATGGAAAATGTGGCACTGAAATTCGAAGGCGCATAGGAATAACGAAAAAACACATTTCAGAAACCGGGCCTGGTTTGAAAGAATAAAAGAAAAATAACATTAGAAAAGGATTGATTTTTCTCGCCAGAATCGATCTTTCAGATCTACAAATCAACAAATCGCCCTTGGATGGAGTATTGCTGCCATATATGGTCTGGAGCCACTTTTGTTTGCCTCAGGGTTCTTGATAAGCTCCAGAGGCGGATATGCAATATAATTGACCCTGTTCTGGCATCTCGTCTACACTCGCTCTCTCACAGACGCACCGTCGCTTCTCTCTGTCTTTTTTACAAATACTTTCATGGTAATTGCTCCGAGGAGCTACATTCGCTGGTTCCCAGACTTCATGAATTCAAGCGCCTGACGAGGCTGGATCCCGCTCTCACCCTTTCACTGTCGAAACTCCTAAATGTAGCCGTCTCTTCTACTCCAATAGCTTCATGTCTCGCACCTCTCGCCTGTGGAACACCCTTCCCAATTACTATTTCCCTGAGAGCTATAATCTCCAACTATTCCACTGTAATGTCAATCGACATATCCAGTTGCCTTGATCTATCCACTATCCTTCTCCTCATCCTTTCCTCTATCACTCTGATCTTGCTCCAAATCTTCTGTAACCCCTTTGCGTCCTAGTGGCTTCCCGCCTTGCTTGGGGTGAAATGCTTAAAAAAAAAATGAAAAAAAAATCTAAATTACTTCCTGATATCTATCCTTCTATATGGCAGTGAATGCTGGGCAATTTACACACAGATGAGAAAAACGCGATAAAGACTTTTTTCAAGCGACAAGTGTTGAAAGTTTCAGCTTATGAAAAACGAGGAACTTTTAGGGAAAATAGGAATTATAAGAAACCTGATACAGGTAAACCTGAGAAAGAGATGCCTAAAAATGTCTGAAACACATAACGAGGAAAATAGGCTGGAGAGACTAACACTCACAAGACATCTCAAAGGCAAGTTAAGCAGAGGAAATTATCGAAAAGTATGTGTAGTCAGATGAACGAATAAGATGGTGCATAAATAGCTGAGAGCAGGAAAAGAGTAGAAGCTGTGGAGAGTCATGATTCGATTGTATCCGGAAGGGATACGACAATAAAATTCAAACTTGAAGCTCTTATATTCCCATTCATTTTGACGTCTCATTAAAAAAAAAAAAAAATAAACGCTGGGACTTTTGCACCTAAAATAAAATATTTAAATTTTTATAAATGTTATGTATGTGTGCACATGTGTGTGTACATTTGCGCTGTGTTCGTGTTCTTCATATCTGCACGTGTGCGTATGCGTACGGGTATATGCCTGTGTATGTGTTTTGCATGAGTATGCAGGCGTGTATCCATGTGTACATGATACTAACACAGGAAAGGGTAAGCTTGCTTGGAAAAACCAGTGGTTTAAAATGCTGAAGCTCATTCGCTGGATGAATCCATGAGTCATCAAAGACGTCATCAG